AAAGCTCTTGTTCGTTGTTGTTGTTGTTGTTGTTTTTTGTTTTGTTTTTTTCTGGTACCAGGAATCAAACTCTCGACCTTGCACTTTCCAGGCAGGCACTGTGCTGCTGAGCTAAATCCCCAGCCCCAGAAAGCTCTTTTCTCTTCCTAAATTTATCATGAAAGGATGGAGAATTTTTTTCTTTTTTTTTTTTTTAAGATGGAGAATGTTATCAGATGTTTTTTCACCATCATTTGAGATGATCATATGATTTTTTTCTTCCTTATCAATAGGAATTACATTTTTGTTTGTTTGTTTGTTTGTTTTTCCGGTACTGGGAATCGAACTCACGACCTTGAGCTTGCCAGGCCGGTGCAGTGCCACTGAGCTAAATTCCCAGCCCAACGTTGATTGATTTTGAAATGTAATGCTTTCCATTGTTGGAATAAGCCCATTCGGGCATAATATATTTATTACGATCATTGGATTCATTTTGCTATTTTTGTTTAGGGCTTTTGTGCCTATCAAGTGAGAGATATGTTTCGTAATTTGACTTTCCTGTTATACTCATGTCAAGTTTTAGTTTCAAGGTTATACTGGCCGTATAAAACCAGATGGGAAGCCAGGCATGGTGGTGTACACCTATAATCCCAGCACTTGGGCAGCTGAAGCAGGAAGATTACACAAGGTGGAGGCCAGCCTAGGCTACATAGTGAGTTCAAGGCCAGCCTGAACTACATAGCAAGACCCTGTCCCCCCCCCCCCAAAAAAAAAGCCATGAGAAATATCTCATTTTATTTTTACTGAGAATTGATGATTAATGTTATTTCTTCCTTAGATGTTTGGAAGAATTTATCAATAAGAACATCTGGGCCTGGAAAATAAAATGGGGGGAGGGAAGATTTTTAACCACAGATTAAATGTTTTCATATATATTATTATTGATTTCTGTTTCTTCTGACAGCACCTGTCAATTTAATTTATCACTCTTCTGAAGGGAGAGCTTCTTACAGTGTCCTTTTGTTCTCTCACATTGTGCGTGAGTGCTCTACCCTTAACCGCACACCAACAACAGGCCCTGTTTGTTAATTGGACCTGCTAAGCTTAATCAGTTTTAGTAATTTTGCTCAACAACCAGCTTTTGGACTTACTGCATTCATTTTCACTTGTATATTTGGTTTTTCTGTTACTGATTTGTGTTTTTGTTATTTTCTTGTTTTTGTTATTTTTTTTAGTTTATGTTTTTTCTACTTTACCAAGGTAGATGCTTAAATCATTAATGTTTATCCTTTTTTTTTTTTTTTTTTTTTTTTCTATTTTATGCACATAAAGCTGTAAGTTTTCTTCTTACCACTCCCTTGGTTGGTTCCCACAAGTTCTGCTGTCATTTTTTCACTTTAGTACAAAGTGGGAATTTTTTTCCATGTACATTGTTTAACTTCCAAACGTACAGATATTCAGTTGTCTGTTGTTTTGATTCCTACTTTAACTCTTGGGTAACAGGAAGTATACTCTGCATGATTATTTAAACCTTTGAATTTTTAGTCTTTTTATTCTAGTGAAATATCCCTTTTTCTAGGATACTTCTTGACATGTTCTTAGGGGTCTAAATAAATGGCACAAAGCATCTTTCACTTTTATCCTTTCTTTAGCCTGACAGAATTTATGATGAAGAAATACAGTTGAGTTTATTAGTTCTAGTGTCATAATGTTTAAGTTGGTGTATTTCTTTTACATTTAATGAACTTCCCAACATATTTTTAGTTAAATCTGTAATCTTTCCTTTTCTCTTTTTATCAACTTTTTATTTTTTTCTTTCTGTTGATAAAAAGCATTTTTTAGTCAGCAATCTTTTCATTTTATTAGCTGGCTAATTGTACACTCTTTCAATATTCTGTTAGTGTTTCCCTAGTGTTTATTACTTGAATTGTTCACTTTTTATTGATTAACTTAAATTCCCCTTGAACAATTGTAGAACTCTGAAAAAGCCAGGCGTGGTGGCACACACCTGTAATCCCATCTCTCAGGAGGCTGAGGCAAGAGGATAGTTGTGCATTTGAGCTCCGCCTGGGCTACAAAGTGAGCTCAGGGCCAGCCTGCACTGCATAGAGAGACCCTGTCTCAAAAAGACAAAGAAAAAAAAAAGGAACTCTGCAAAAACTTAGTTTAGTGCCATTCAACTTTCTCCCACCTTTGTACTATTGTTAACACATACATATTTTGACACACCTTTTATAGGTTGTAAAACATTTTTGTTATTGTTGATACAGTTTTTTATCTATCCAGATACAATTCTCTTTAGTTCTTCTTCTTTTTGCAATTTGTTGACCTTTTGATACCATTTTAGACATCTGTGATGGCAGAAATGTTTTCAAAACTAATTTTTGAAATTTTTCATTTTTGCTTTAGCTCTTGTGTTTGCAGTGAGTGTAGAAGTTTAGACTAGCAATTTTACCTCTTTAAAAGCGTGCTGTTTCATTTTATTTTCCTTCATTACTCCTCCAGCCTGCCCACTGAGTTACATCCTCAGCCCTTTGTTGTATTTTTTTATTTTGAAACATGGCCTTGCCAAGTCGCCCAGGCTGAGCTTGAACTTGTGATCCTCTGCCTCGGCCTCCCAGAGTCCTGGGATTACAGGTGTGCCAACAGGCCAGCAGCCATCCTTTGGAACAGACAAAATTATTTCTTTGAAAATAAGCTCATACTCCCAGTACCGGAAAAAAAAAAAAAAAAAAAAAAAGAAAAGAAAAGAAGCTCACCCTTCCTTCTGACCAATTTTTAACCTTTCACTGTCTTTTTCTTTTTTAAAGCAGTTTGACACTACTGTGCCTGTATGCATTCATTTCCTTGTTTGTTTTACATTAAAATTATCTTTACAGTTTTAGCTGAATTTCTGGAATTTTGAGTTAACGTCTTTTGTGAGATTTGGAAATTTGTATGCTGGTATCTCTTCAGAATATTGCTTCCGCCTGTTCCCTTTTCCTTTCCCTTGGGTCTCGGGCGCTGCTTATTTCCTGCATCATCAGCCAGTTTTCACATCGGGGCCCAACCTCCATTCTGCTTTCCTTTGCCCTCGGTTAGGCTGCATCTGATTTGCGAGTAAACCTGTATGTCGTGCATCTTTATTCCCAGTGTTAGGTTTTATTCTGTTACTGCATTATTTGTCGTTTCCATTTGAGTTTTTTCAGACTCCTGCAGTTAGCTGCATGTCCCGTAAGGGAAGGGCCCAGCCCAACAAGACTGGCCCATTTCAGATGCCAGTCCATGACTGAGCACCTACAAATCGGAACTTCCCACGCCCCCTCGGGTTTGAGGATGCGTGAGGATGGCTGCTACTTAGGGAAACGTTCTTCTAATGTTCAAGCGCTGCTTCTAAGGGACAGTACAAAGGGAACAGCCGGATGAAGTACACAGGGCAAGGGTCTTCTGTCCCTGTGGAGGTGGAGTGTGTGCCCAGCCCGGCGCATCCCTTTGTCCAGTAATAGTTCGCCCTGGAGAGTTTCCTCTCCGGCCTCTCCCTCTCCTGTCCTGCAGGTGGGAGTGGGCGCAGCTGAAAGTCTCAGCCCTCCGAGTGATCGCTTCTGTGACAGCTGCAGCAGCCAGAGGCTGGTTGGGTCCCACCCTAAGCAGCCATTAGTTGTAAGTCTCTTGAGACTGAAAGGCGCTCCTGTCACTCAGTACATTCTGAGGATTAGGGCTTGTGCCAAGAACAGGGGATGAAGCCCAGATGTCTTCTTCCTGTGTCGCAGGGATCAAGAGGAGCGTTCAGGCGTGGGTGTTGGCAGAAAAAAGCATTCTCTGGTCAGCATTCACTTGAGGAACAGACCACAGGACTGAGTCTTCCATTCCTGGAGGAGCATTAGGGAAGACTGGGGTTGGAAAGGGGAGTAAAGGGGAGCTGTGTGTCCAGGACCTGGGTTTGACCAGGGGTGACAGGAGCAGGGCGGTCACGAGGGAGGCCACGAAACATAATGTCCAGTGCCTGGACTCCATCATTTACCGGCTCTGTGATGCCAGGTTTCTTACTGTTGTCAGGCTCCTTACCTGTAAATTGAGTATAGTGTTACATGCAAAGCCTGGCTTCTCGTAAGTATTAAGCGAATGTTACATATTATTGTTGATGTAGTCTGGTAAGTTTAATCTAAGAACAGTGTTTAGTAGCCTGGATACTAATTGAGAAATGCTTGAAATATAGTTGTAAGAGGTAAATTGAAAGGAAGGGACAGATACTGGGAATATTTTAGATGACCGATGTTAATATTTTAAATGTATGTAACTTTAAACTGTTGGATACTTTTTGCTGTTTCATAGTATATTTCTTAGGTCCATTATTATATCAGTACTGCAGTGATTAGCTGACTACTGAATATAATTTATAATTTACAGAACACTTTGACATATGTTAAAGTTGATTCTCAGAACCATTTTATGAGATTTCATGTCCATTTTATTAAGCCTCAGAATGGTTAATCTATTAAAGATTACACAAGTTAATAAAAACCAATTGAAAATGAATCTGTACATCTAGTGGTTTCTCTGATACCTCACATTACATGATAAGAACTAATGTATTATAGCAAGAGACGAAGATGAAACACTATTACTACTTTGAAAGAGTTAATATCTTTTCTTTTTTTCGGTACCGGGAATCGAATTCATGACCTGTCTTGCCAGGCAAGTGCTTATGCTGCTGAGCTATTTCCCTGGCCCAATATCTTTTCTTAAGTGTGTTTCTTAATGCCAGGGAATAAGTAATGTGGAAGGGGCCAGACGAGTTCAGAGTCTGCTAGTTATCTAATTTATAGATAAGCTTAGTGATATTTGAATATAATCCGATAGAACAAAACAGTCAGTGGCTGTCACTTGTCCTGTATCTTCAGCAAAAATGAAAATAGGCTCTTGCTGTCTGAATCAAATTGTCTTAGGCACTTTGTACGTTCTGGGTGGTTGTGATACGTGGAGCTGTTCCATATATGTTTTCAAATAGTACTGATCAGGACTCTTCTTGGAATTTACTGCAGGTCAGTGGTAGCAGCATCTACCTAGAATGATGCTTCGTGGTGCTCTGGGGAAGACCTTCCGGCTCGTGGGCTACACCATTCAGTATGGTTGCATAGCCCATTGCGCTTTTGAGTATGTTGGTGGCGTTGTGATGGTGAGTTTTTACATACAAGAACATTCACTTTAGCGCCTGCCTGGCAAGCGCAAGGTCGTGACTTCGATTCCCGGTACTGGAGAAAAACTAAAAAAAAAAAAAAAAGAATCTTCACTTTTAAGTATATATACTGTTTTTAAATGGAAGGGAAATGTGCTTTCCTTTCGTTTTAGTTGAAGTTATTAATGAATAAAGTGTAAAAGCAGAAACATAAAATCTTTCTAAATACTGGGATATAAGAATGTTTGCATTGGCACTGATATCAGAACCATGACTCCAGATACGTTCTGTATTGTTTGTGATGGGGATCATAAGCTTCTCCTAATGGCCTCGTAATAGTTACCATGTATCGAATGTTACTATTTACTGTCTCCAGGAAATGCTCGATGTTATACACTTACTAAGTCATTTAGTCTTTTACACTTCTGTGAGATAATAATACCAACCCATTATGCATATGAGGAACATAAGTTCAGGAAGATTAAATATCTTGTTCCAGGTCCTACAGGTAAGCAGCAGATGTGGAATTTTCACAAAATTTGTCTGATTTCCAAAACTTACTCATAAGTACTGCATTTAGCTCCTTAAATCGAATAATTATTTTGCCATGTCAGCATTGAAACGTTAAAGGGGGCCCTTTGAACCTCCAGCCGGTACCTGCTCTCGGTATTGCATCGTGAGCCTGCCAGTGCTGACCACTCAGCTCTTCTGTCATGTCAGTGCAGGAATATCTGACTGATTGATCGATTGATTAACCAGCAAATGTGTAATTGTTGTGATTATTTGTTGTATTAGTTTTACCTTAGCAGATCAACAGTCGTATACTTTTAAGATGTGCTGCTGTTATACAAATCTGTTTAACTGAAACTTCCCTCAATTTTTGTAAGTAACATTGGCACTTTTAGAAGTAGCAAACAGACTTTCACAGTATTCTTTGTTACTTTAGACTGAGTGGAAAATTTTGAGTAAAGTTTTATTTACAAATAAGTAGGGTAGCAAGAGACTTAATGTGTGTGTGGTTTTAAGTGGCATTGTTTATTCTACTTTTGAGGTATATTTCGAGATTATAGTCTTAAGACATACAAATATGACTGTCTTTAAAGTGCATATTATTATGCCAGCAGTTCTCAGCAGAAAACGTAGTTGCAGCCCCATCAGATGAAGAAGCCACTTCCTGGAAGAGGAGGGTAGGTTGCAGTGCAGTGACAGTAGTGTGACATCATTCAGCTCATAGGCTCTGGGTGGTGTTTGACAATAGCAAAAAGCAGTCATCCATTCATTCAAGGAGAAGTTTTGAGTTTCCGTTTTATGCAGAGTGCTGATCTTGGCCTTCGTTACTGAGCTGGGGAAGTGAGGCGCAGGTCTCTGTGCTCTTGGAGCTTCCCCCTGCAGTGTGGCCATCATTTGGAAACAGATAAACTTACGTTGTGTAAATATTTCAATAAGCCACTTGTACTTGTGTCTCCAGCATGGTAGCTATTCTAGAAGGAAGCTTACTTGGGAACTGCCAATTTAGGAATCTTCTTCCCGCAAGCTGGAAGAACATCGGCTTGTCTTAGAAGCCACTGAAATGACTTCTGTTAAACTTAAAGAGGATTTGAACTCAAATTACAAAACTGCCTCTTTTTTCAGTGTTCTGGACCATCAATGGAGCCTACCATTCAAAATTCAGATATCGTCTTTGCAGAAAATCTCAGCCGACACTTTTATGGTATCCAAAGGTAAATTTCCATTGTGGTTATATTCACCTTACAAGAACAGTGCATGTACGTGTTGTACTTCTCTGTAGTATCTTCACTTTACCCTTAAAAACACTTTTGTAAATCATCAAATTAAAGACTAACTAGATAGAATTTTGAGTGAAATAGTTCTCCAGTCAGAGGTTTTAAGTTTCCCTAAGCACTTGCAGCCTCTTGGGTCACTGGACAGTTAGCCATCTCTTTCACATGTGAACATGGTTCACTGTGTCACTGGGTCCTGGTATTCTGAGTCAACACCTAGGGAGTTTAAAACTGTGCTACATATCAACTAACTGTTCCGGGTAACTTTTGAAAGTACCCTGTAAGGGGCTGGGGATTTAGCTCAGCAGCACAACTCCTGCCTGGCAAGCACAAGGTCGTCAGTTTGATTTGCGATACCGGGAAAAAAAAAAGAAATTACCCTATAATTTGATTGCTGATGACTTTAATTTTTTCTGTATAACCTATGATGACCAGTTCATGATTTTTAGAGTACGACATTATATAAAAGGGCAACTCTGACTCTAAAATTTTTGAGTTCGTTTATAATTAATCTGTACTAGCTTTCATCTTAAATATAAATGTGACTGTCTGCACTTGTATTTAATTATGGTATAGTTAAGTAGGTCTAGGCATTTCTGTCTCACTATCCACCTTGGCTCTAGCCCATTTCTTATTGAAAAATTGTCAAGAATAATATAAAGCCCCTCCTCCTATTTACTGTCATTAGCCCTTGGTTCTGCAGATGGAAATGCTTAAGCTATATGTACTAACATGATCCTTGTGAACTGTTCAGATCTGTTGCAGGAAACCTAATTTTAGATATAGGGATTGTATATTAAAAATCATAAAGCAGCTGTATTCTAGTTCTACTTTCTTTTTGACTTTGTCAAAAGAACGTTATACAGCTCTTGCATTAACTGGGGTGTCAGCCTCACTGTAGCATGAAGGTAAGTTTCTGTTATAAAGCACCCTTAAGGGCTGAAACTATTGGCTGAATAGTTCTTGAATGAACAGCTCAGTGTCTTATTTTTACAGTAAACAGATTTGTTGAGGGTTTCCTTTTAAACTTCTTGTCTTGGGGCCCAGCTGGTTGTAGAAGAGCTCAAAGTCTGCATCGTATCAGACATAGCAAAATAACATTTAGCACTAAAGTTTCCAGTTGTTAACGAACACTTTTAAAATATCACTGCCCTTGTTTTCTTACCTGTGGCACAGAATGCTGAGATTGCAGGGGAGCTTCAGGCCCCTGGTGAGGTTCTGTTGCTGGTTGCCTGTTTGTAAAGATAGAAGAGCCTTCCATGTAGGCACCAGTAAAAGTCAGTGTGTGTAGTGTCTAAGCACATGGCTTTTCCCGTCAGCTGCACAGAACACTCATGGGTGCGACAGTCACAGCCTCTGTGTCTTATTCTTTCAACAGACAGCTAAGAAGCGCCTCCCTGATAAGAATCATAAAGAATACGTTATAAAGAGTAAGATGACTGAGATACTGCTGTTTCGTTTCTGAAGCATGGTATCTAGTAGGAGAAGGATGCTTACAACTGCAAATGAAAAGGGAAATGTTAAGTAATGGGTCTGTTAAGTTTCTTTTGAAACACTTTTTGAAAGGGTTGAGTCCAGTAGATACATATTGATCTAATCTTTATGCACTTATCTGGGTACACTACCAAAAATGCAGTCTCCATTAGTACTGCTTTCTGTAAAGACAGCTTGACTGAATTACGATTTGTGTTGCATTTTAAGTGCACAGCTTAATGATCATAGTGAGTATTTGATCAGAATTTAAACCGCATAAAGCACCCATGGAAAAAGTTGCCTTTTACGGTGCCACACCAGATCAGCATGGATAGTGTGTTCAAATTTTTGCAGACTTGCTCATCTGAACAGTTCCACTGACATGATTAGAAAGAGTTTACCCCGTCTTCAAAGAGAGGCAGTATTACTTTGCCACCAAACTGTAGCATTTAATGCTTTGATACCAGTCTGCTCCTACCAGGAATGATCTCAAGACGTGCTTGTTACGAATACTGCCCCTGTGGTTTCCCTGAGGAAGACAGTGTCTTTCATTCCCGTACATAAGAGCCCTTCTTAGGGAATTTTGCCTTACACCCCACTGAACTTTATTTTATTAATTAATGGTTACTATGTAATAATCTTAATTTCTTTTGACTTGGCTACCAAAAAGCTTAGGATCCTTTGTAATACTTGTAATATAGCAATAATTAAATTGCTGATTTGATTGTCATCTTCCTTTTATTGTTACAGGTTTTGATATTATTTTGACATATATATCTTTTATTACAAATGACATCAAATTATCTCTGGAACTAGGTACAAGTAATAAATATATTAATTTTTTCCTTTTTTCACGGTTCTGGGGTTTGAACCCACAGCCTTCACACTAAGCTACACCCCTCCTTTGTGAGGAGGGTCCTGCCCAATTATGCAGGCAAGGCTGGATCTTGGGATCCTTCTGCCTCAGCCTCCTAGTGTGCTGAGGTTACAGGTGTGCCCTGCCATACTCAGCTACAGTTCTTTTACATTTCTTTTAAATGTGTTAGTTAGCAGTTCACATGCTGCTTACTTTATGCAAAAAGAGCACTGCTCCATTTGGTTGGAGCCATTAGTTCTGCATTATTTGTCTCCTTTTTTCTTTCCACGTTTCAAAATCTTTCTTATCCTGTTACTATGTAGATTGTCATTACTTCCAGGAATCTTGTCTTCCCTGTGTAATTAGACCTATAATGGTTTTATGTGGTTGATATCCCATTTTATTTTTTACAGTCTTTGCTCAACTCTTATTTTATTTGGTTGTGTTTTTTTGAATTTTTCCCTCAGGCCGGTAATGGTGGCACACACCTATAATCCCAGCACTTGGGAGGCTGAGGCAAGAGGATCACTGTGAGTTCAAGGCCAACCTCGGCTACATAAGTGAGTTCAAGGTCGGCCAGCACCTCATAGTTAGATCCTGTCTCATAAAACAAAAACCCTAAGTAAGTGAGTGTTTCCCTCAACTGCCAAGTTCATCGGGCAGCCCTGTGAAGTGCAGATGAGCATTCTGTGGCTTGCACGCTGTTACTCACTTCCTTCAGCTCTGGGGAAATGCAGCCAGTGCTTTTTTTCGGTGCTCTGGACTCAGTCGCTGCTGGGCTTTATGTAACTTGGAAGCATTTGTGTGGATTTGCCTTTCCATCATTTTGTTTCTGAAAATTAGGTTACAATAGTAACATACTGTGGATATGGCAGAGATTAATGTTCATGGAACTATTTGAAAATTTAGCCTCTTGTAACACAAAAAATTATAACTGGCTTCTCCATCACTCTGCTTGGCTTCTGACCCAGAACAGTCGTAAAGGTCCACACAGCGGGTCAGAGAGAGCGCGCACAAGGCCGCCTCTGAGTTGCCTTGTGAAATGATAAAGCCGTTGCCGTGCATGTGTTTATTCTCAATAAGTAATACTGGTGTTCCTTTGACTTTTCCCCCTCAGAGGTGACATTGTGATTGCAAAAAGCCCGAGTGACCCCAAATCAAATATTTGTAAAAGAGTAACTGGCTTGGAAGGAGACAAAATCCTCAGCACTGGTCCATCAGATTTCTTTAAAAGCCATAGTTATGTAAGTAATACTTCAGTTGTGTTGTTCATTTCTGTCGTAGGTGATTAACACTGCCTGAATACATGAAGAAAACAGCATAACTTTTCCTTCGAATGTAAGGAAAATGTTGGGCTGGGGATATAGCTCAGTGGCACAGTGCATGCCTGGCAAGTGCAAGGACCTGGGTTCGATTCCCAGTACAAAAAAAAAAAAAAGGAAATTGCTGCATTCAGTATCATTTAAGTAAATCGAGAAGAGTTTGGCCGTTAGGTGTATTGTAGTTCCTATATAGACATGTCAGTAGTTGATATAGATATGATTTACCAGTGGATGCTAAATTTTTGGACAGAAGTTTGAGGAGAAACAAGTATTTTCATAGTCTCAATGTCTCGCTCCTGAGGTTTTATTACAAAAGAAATAAGAGTCACAACAGTAGAGGAGAAACCTGCCAGGTGCCACCTTAACGGGTGAGGGAGGGTGACTTCACAGTGACAGACACAGGGCCACAAAGGGGCAGAGGAGGGCGTGTTTCGTGGAATTCTTTCCCTGCCGCACCGGACAGCCAGCCTTGGTCTAACATGTGCGGTCAGTGTCACTGGTCAGTGCTTCTCAAAACTGCCCAGGTCATGAAAACAAGACAGCATAGCTAAGATCAGTCTGGATTCCTGGCTTAGAAGGTTTGTCATCTTCCTCATCAGTTAGAAACCTAACAATCAAATAAAGGCTGCAGTTTAAGTTTTTAAAACCTCTTAAACGCCAGACGTGGTGGCACATGCCTGTAATCCCAGCCCTCCGGAGGGTGAAGCAGGAGAATTACTGTAAGTCTGAGGCCAGCCTGGGCTACACAGTGGGTTTCAGGCCAGCCTGCCCTACATAGTAAGACCCTGTCTCAAAACAAGTGCGTTTGATCATTGGACTACTAAGTATTCTGTGATTTACCACCCGTACTAGATGGTGGTTCAGCGGGACAGATGTTTCTTGGGGCAGTTCGGGCCGCTCCACGCAGGGCTTATGAGCAGCCGGTGGTGATGCGGAAGGTACTGTGGGGCCTTGGTGGCCTTTATCAGGAGCAGCCTCTCCTTTAGTTCTTGAAAGTGTCATTGTGGGGGCGGGATTTCACCTTCACTCCCTGAGAGGGTCCAGTCACTTAGAGTGGCTGCAGTAGCAAGTGTAGCCTGAGGCCCGAAAGGGTGCGGCCCCCAGAGGGAACAGGACAGATACACGGTAACACCCTCTGCCTGCCTTCCCGGCCTTGTCTGTGTGCTCAAGCATGTTACTTGCTTTGGAGGTTACAGTGAGGCAGTCACAGCACAAAAAGGTTTCGGTACCAGACGATGTGAGATGAAAAATTTAAAAATTTTGTTTCAAGAAAGCGCCCATCGAGCGTGCATGTGTCCTCAGTGGACGAGGCGGACAGCGCTGCCCCCTCGTTGCGCGCCCACCCCTTCTGTGTGGCCTAGCGCCTGTGGGGAGCGCGCAGTGTCACGGAAGCACGTTGGTCGGCAAGGACACGCCTCTTAGCGCAGGGCCCACCCGCTTGATGATTGAAACAGCAGCCCGCCCAGGGAGGGCCAACGGCCCGGCGGAATGCAGTGAGAGGAGGGCAGGGCCCGAGCTCGCCCGCCCCCGGCTCCAGCTCCACGCCGCTCCTCGTCTCCTCCCGGCTGTTCGCATCCCCAGCCCTCGCCCGGCCGTGCCTCCTGCACACGCGTGCGCGGCTCTTGTTGCTTTGGGAAAGCAGGGCAGCTGTTGCTGATTAGGAACACACTGATTATGACGGAGAAATCAGTGTTTTTGAGGGGTTTTCCTCCTTGTTAGTTTTTCTCAGGGGTGTTATTCAGGCCATGCGAATTGTGTAGCTATTATAAAACCAAGCACTTTCACACATGTGTTCAGTTAATCAAGGTGATTTATTCAAGAGTCGGTCCGGGTTTGGAGCACGCTGAAACCTCAGGTGCCCTGGCTGCGCGCAGCCCTGCCGGGGAGCGCTCCGTCCCGGCGCTCTGGGAAGCGCTTTGGCGCTGCGGCAGGCAGAGGAAGCAGGCCTGGCGTCTTCCTCTGCCTCCTTTAGAGAAGCTGTCGTAGTCCATACCATGAGGACGTTACTACACAGATCTTGCTTGAGCTGCACAGTAAAGGTGATCGATATGAAAGAGGTTTTGAATTCCAGGCAAAAGACATTTAATCTTGTGTGCAGGTGCTTCAGAAAGCAGAACACCGCATTGTCATTTGGAGCCTCGACTGTAGAGTTTAGCATATGAAAGAAAAAGCACTGTTTATCAGCTGCCGGAAAAGGATATGAACAGTTCATTGACTAAGTCATGTGAAATCAGTTTATTCACTCCACAGTTTAAATCCACACGGCAAGCAACCCTTCTAACTAGATTTCTTCCACTAAATACTTGGAAACTGAGAAGCCCCCGACAGGGTGCTGTTGGAGGGGCGTTTGCTTACTTTGATGCTCCTGCCTAGGGCAGGTAATGCCTTCCTCAGTGTACGGCCAAGCATGGACTACTAGGATAGGAGTTAAGTTGACTCAGAAGAAATGATAAGCAGCTCAGACATCATGAATACCTTACATTTCTGCATGTGCTATAGTGATGCCTCAGTTGACTGCTGGAAGCCACTACTTTATCAAAGAAAGAGAAGTTTTAAGTAGGTGCACTTCACAGAAAATATGAATCAGCATTCTCCTGTTGGCTTGCACCACGGACAGAATACAAACTGAAACCCTATTTTATGTAGGGCCCGCTGTCGTCAGGACCCCAAGGCCCTAGGTCCCAGGCATCATAGCAACAGCTATAAAGTCAGTGAGGAAAAGAAGACAAAGAAACAGTTCCTTATCTACCTCCCTTCCTTCCTTCCTTTTTTTTTGGTTACTGGGGATTAAGCCCGGAGCACTGTGTCCCTGAGCTGCGTCACTTGTGCCGCCACGCGGGCCCCTTCATGCTCTTTATGGGGATGACGTGTGCTAGTCCAGAGCTGTGGCTGACCACAGCGTGACGCTGGCATAGTTAGCACTCTGAAGTATAGACGGAACAGTCAGCAGACGTGCCCCACGTGAGGTCTTCCGTCAGGTGGAGCTGTGCGACGTGCCCGCGCTCAACGTCTTGGCAGCCCTTTCCGGGAGGGGTTGGTCCCACCGCTTCGTGCAGCCTGGGCCTGCCCACGTCCCAGGGGCTTCTCGGCTGTCCTCCCGGCCTCACTCACTGTGTTGTGAGTGTTGGAAACAGTTGTTGTTTGGACCTGGTTTCCCTTGGGTGTCAGGACACCGCTGGCCCCTGGTTTTCTTCCTGTGTACCGCCTGCTTCTCCTGAGTTTCCAGAGCCGGCCTCGCCTAGAGAGTGACCCAGGCTCTGGAGGAGGGAGGGTTCGTGGTTTAAGCTCCTGCTTCTGTACACTTACACTGTGGGTGCCTCACTCTATCTCATGTTCCAGAACCACCTGAACTGCATCGGCCCCAGTCTCCTTCCTGCGTTCCGGAAGCATGTTTCTCACTTTTAATTTAATAGCTCCCCGGGGGTGGGTAACGGCCCTCTCAGAGTTTTATGTCCAAAACAAAGTCCCTGTCTCCCTTGCTACAGAGGCTTCCCCCACGCCCTTCCCAGCCCTAGGAAAGGCAAGCCCCCTTTCCAGGTTGTTGAGCCCAGAAAGCTTGGGATTACCCTTGCTCTCCTCAAAGCCGGGGAGGGAGCCCGCTGCACTTGTAGCACCGTCAGAGTCACAGGGCGCGCGGCCCGCCGCTGCCCGGGCCGTCCCGCAGTGATTTCCGCATTGCGCCCGGCTTGTCTCTGCTCCTCTCTGTGCTCCCCTCTTCCGCCGCCCTGTTTCCTGCAGCTGCTGAGAGCTCCTTGGGGTGCTGCTGCTCTTTTCTGCCCATCGTGTTGCTTTCTGCTCTGCTTTCCTAGTGGCGTTCCTTGCCAGTCCTCATGCACGTGGGCGGCCTCCCGCGGGCCTCAGAACTCCCTGCAGCCATGCTTTCTGCGGCCTGGAGCTCAGTTCAGGTCTTCCTGGAACGTGCTCCTGCGCGTTCGGGTGTGTGTGGTCACTGGACTGGCAGTGGTGCAGTTGTGGCAAACTCTAGCTCACAAGGCCTGCTGATCACCCGCCGCTTCACAGAGTAAAGTTGTTGGCCCCTGCTCTGGGGTGTTTGCTTGCTTCTGTGTTTGCTTCCTTTTCTGAGGCAGCGTCTCCCTGAGATGTCCAGGTTGCGTTGAACTCATGAGTAGGCTGGCCTGGACCTCGACATCCTCCTGCCTCGGGCTCGCAAATGCTGGGATGACGGGCATGTGCCACCACACCTCGCTACAGCAGGGTTCCTGGTGGCAGGCTTGAGGCTGTCCTTGAGAGCACACATTCTGCTGTTGTGTACAAAATGCGAAATGTTCACCAAATGATAGTCTGTTACCAGTGTAGCCATGGTAGGCGAGTAAAGAATACAGTAGTTCTCACGTTTCCCTTTGGGAATTACGGGTTATGTTAATATCATCATTACTGTTACTGGCAGAAATGTCAGGAACTGAGACAGTTTAACATTTCAGAAACAAGTGCTTGACTGTGCTCCGATGCACTGGCGATACAGTGCTGTTAAGAGAGATCTTGGAAATGCAATAATGTGTTAGTAACACAGCTGTTTTATGCTGTATTATTAGAAAATGCTTTAATAAAACTTACTGACAACCCTAACAACAATCTTACTAATTAGACAGCAGTAGCAAACAGTCACTTTATATAGGTAAAACTAATAGTTCTTTAATGTGCACTGTGTGTATAGTGTACAGTTCAGATCCCTGAATATCCTACTGCTGTTTCTCTGTTGAAGTGTCATTTACCGCAGCTAAAAGTCACAGGCCATCTGGCCTTCTATTACTACTTGTATTATACACAGAAGAGGTACCTTCAGATTGAAAGGGCGTGTTCAGGGTAAGCTGCTGATACACTAAATCCTCATGTCATTTAAACAGAAGGACTGCCTAATAATGTCACTTAGGAGGGCTTGGGTATCCAAACAAGGGGCTGGC